GAAGATCCCGTTCAGAAGGTTGGGGCAGGTGAGCCCACCTCAGAGCCAGAACAGCTCAGCTATGTGTCTTGCTTGTTTAGAAGACACTGTGAGACCCAATTTCTTTCTGGGTTAACCAAAATTGGGGATGCCTCTTCTCTTCGGGCAATTTCATCTTTTGATTGTTTTCATCATAGGAAAACAGAAATCACAGCATACTGAGAGACAGAAACTAGAGGACAGGCATTTTTCTTCTTTACTCACTATGAAATACAGTGTTGATACAGATAAAAATCTCATTGTCTGTCTGTGGGTAAGACTTTTCAATAGTCCGAAGAGGCCCGGACCCCAGAGCTGATGGCGTTTACTCCACAGCACGTGTCCAATCATGGGTTTCGCTGAAAAGCCCAGCTGAGCCTCTGAAGGCTCAACTGCTCTGAGCAATCCTCTGACCTATTTTGTTATGTCTCTGAATACAAAAATTAAAAGTTCACGATGGTCAACCACTTACAATCTTCTTTAACTTATTTTGGACACACATACACCTTTTCAAGGGATAAGCAAGGACTTTTTCAGAGGGACTTGTCCTTTCGAAAGAAATCATATTATCCTCATTTCTCACAACATAGACAAGATATTTTCTGAAAGCAACACAGAAACCCTGGTGTGTTTTACTTAAGAATAATAGTCTCAGTCTGTTCAAAGTATCTTAAATGGTTATTTTAAGGAAACTCAGACTTAGGAAATTTTTCCACAGATCTTCCATAATAACTCAAACTACTCTTCAAACAGCAGAACGCAGTCCCTGGCTACATCTCCCTCCTACGTCTGGCCATTTCCGTCTTGGGGTAAACCATTAGCTGGTAACCGCCTCAAGCCTGGAGACCAGAATATACCGAGGACCATTTGACAGTTCTTTCTTTTGTCTTCTTTATGCCCAATTGTGGTCATAAATAGATCTATTTTCTTTATTAAATATCTGAGTGCTTAGTTTAACTGGGGAGACATAGGGTGTGCTATTTTTTTTTCCTGTCTTGGTTCCTCTAGCCAATTTAGGAAGGACCAAAAGTTAAATCTTGTTGAAGAATTACGCAAGACATGAACAAAGAACTGAAGACAGAGTTGAAGTCAAAACCAAAAGAAGATCAGCAGGATAAACCACATTGACACTTAGGTATCTGAAAGAATATCAGCGCTACACGTGGCCTTTGAATGTTGTTGTCTAACACCTCATTTTACAAAGAGCTGGGATTACAGGTGCCCATCATTGTGTCCGGCTAATTTCTGTATTTTTAATAGAGATGGAGCTTCACCATGTTGGCCAGGCTAGTCTTGAACTCCTGATCTCAGGTGATCTGCCTGCCTTGGCCTCCCAAAGTGCTGGGACTACAGGCTTGAGCCACCACGCCTGGCCTATGTCTTTCTTTTTTAACTTTGCTTCTCTCTTCACATGTTTTATGCACTCGAACTGGCATTCTCCTCAAGCCTATAACCATGGCCAGTGATTATATCATCTTTGCTGAGAGAAGAAGGGACTCTCTTCCCCTGTTTCTAGGTTAAACATCATCTCTCAAGGGCTTCAATGACTTTGGGTCACACACCCATCCTGTACCCAGGAAAGCAGAGCAATCAGATTGGCACCCACTGAACCACAATACTGAAGTGAGGTAGAAACATTTCAACCATAAAAGGGGTTCTTCTCTTTGCAGAAGAACCACAGGGGGCTGGGAAGGCAAACACTGTATGCACCTCCCCTTCTGTCCTCCTTTACACAGCTGTGCCCAGTGACCCCATCTCCATTTGCATCACTGATCTGAAGCCTGAGATGTTTTGCTGATATACGCTGTCTCCCACACAGTTTAGTTCATCATCCACACAGGTAGACTACTTAGAATGAGTTACTAGCCCAGCAGAAATCTGAGTTTCAACAGAAAGTCAATGATTAACATTTTATCCCAAACCAAAGTTCTAGGTAATATTATAAAAGCAAGAAGTTTTTATTTTAAAATCACTGAATCCTTATTGCTCTGAATTGACATGACCTCAAACAGCTGAACTCAGAAGACCATACCTCATTGAGAAATATTTACCATGCAAGAATTCTTTATCTAAGCTTTAGCAAAAAGCCCATCTTTCCTGCACACCCTGTCCTGTCATCTCAGATTGAACTACTGAGATTTATTAGTTGTATTTCTCTGACTAAGACAACTCAAAAATAATAAATATTTCACCCCTTCTTTTGTTAGAAAACTATAGAATTGTTTCTTCTGCAGAAATCTCAATGACTCTTCATTTCCATTTATGAACTGCATTGTCACAGATATTTTTCAGCCACAGGATTCCAGAGCTTCCCCACACCTCACTAATTTCAAATTATATGAAGGCCAGCAGTAGTGGACGTTCACTGATCTTCTCTCCACACAAATGGGGGCTCCTGTGTTCTGAGCTCACTGCTAATTGGCCACAATTGTTTGCATCAGGATGGTCTCCTGATCCAGGGGGTAGTCATCAAAAATCTTCCCCAGGATTTTTAAAAATTGTGGTAATAAACACTTCACATTAAATTTACAACCTTAAACATTTTCCAAGCATATAGTTCAGTTGTGTTGAGCACATTTATACTGCTGTGCCATCAATCTCAAGAACTTTTTCATCTTGCAAAGCTGAAACTCATTAAACATTACAACTGAAGCCCATTAAACACCTCTCCATATCTCCTTTCTCCAGACCCTGGCAACCACCGTTCTACTTTCTGTCTCTATGAATTTGACCACTCTAGGCACCTCCCATAAGTGGTATCATATAGGATATGCCTTTTTGTGACTGGCTTCTTTCACTTAGCATAAGGTCCTCGAGGTTCATCCATGTAGTATGTGTCAGAACCTCCTTCCTATTAAAGGTTGAAAATATTGTATCATATGTATTGTATATGCACCATTTTTAAAATCCATTCATCCATCAGTGGACACCTTCGGGCTCTTGTGAATAATGCTGCTGTAAACATGGGTGTGCAAATATCTCTTCAAGAACCTGCTTTCAATTCTTTTGGATATATACCCAAAACTGATATTACTGAATCATATGGTAGCTCCATTTTATTTCTGGTTTTTAGTTTTTGCATTTAGAAAAGTTTAAATAGCCAGGTGCGGTGGCTCACATCTATAATCCGAGCACTTTAGGAGGCTGGGGTGGGCAGATCACAAGGTCAGGAGTTCAAGACTAGCCTGGCCAACATGGTGAAACCCCATCTCTACTAAAAATACAAAAATTAGCCAGGTATAGTGGCAGGCACCTGTAATCCCAGTTACTTGAGGGGCTGAGGCAGGAGAATTGCTTAAACCTGGGAGGTGGAGGTTGCAGTGAGCCGAGATAGCGCCATTGCCCTCCAGCCTGGGTGACAGAGCGAGACTCTGTCTCAAAAAAAAAAAAAAAGTTTAAATAGACTTTGTTACTCAGGCTGGTCTCAAGTGATCCTCCCAAAGTGCTACGATTATAGGAATGAGCCACCGCTCCCTGCCCTGTTTTACCTTGCTTTTTTGAGGAAACTTCATACTTTTCCCATAGTGGCTACACTATTTCACACCCTCACCAACAGTGCACAAGGATTCAGGTTTCTTCATATCCTTGCCAACACTTGTTTTCTGTTTTGTTTTGTTAATAGTAGCTATCCTAATAGACGTAAGATACTTCCCCAGGATTTTTAACTAGAACTGAGAAAATTGGTCTTTCCTGTGACAGAAGCTCAGAAGCTACGCTGTCGGGGTGGGACTCTAGAGTTGTCATGTTTCTTTCTTTCTTTCTTTTTTTGTCAGCATCTCACTCTGTCACCCAAGGTGGTGCGATCACACACAGCTCACTGCAGCCTTGACTTCCTCAGGCTCAGGTGATCCTCCCAACTCAACCTCCCAAGTAACTGGGACTACAGCTGTGTACCACCAAACCTTCCTAATTTTAGTATTCTTCGGAGAGATGGGGTTTTGCCATGTTGCTCAGACTGGTCTCAAACGACTGGGCTCAAGCAATCCACCTGCCTCTGCTTCCCATGGTGCTGGGATTTTAGGAGCGAGACACCATGCCCAGCCACAGTCATGTGTCTTGACATGTGAAGGAAGCTGATCCATATTGAGTGTTTAGGATACTAATTACTACAATCCTTCTCTCCTCCAAAGTTCTGAATCCAACTGAAACCTGTTCACAGAAGCATAATAGACTCCCATAAAGATGGTAATAGCAGCTTCAGTCCTTTTCAAGGTGGGTTGGAGACTATGACTGGAAGCCAGATGCAGGCTGGTGTTCCCATTCCTCTTCCCCAGCAAATGGAATTTACTTACAAGGCAGTGGCAGGCCTGCTATGCCCCGCCTTGCAACAGAGGCAGAGAAGGCCCCCGTGAATCAAGTACAGAAAACGAACAAGACCAAAGACAAAACCGCATGCTACTTGGGGACAGGCGAGATCCAAAGGAGAAGCAGAGGGAGAAGGCCAGCCTGCATAATGAGCCTTTTGCCAACCTCAGCAGCCTGAATGAGTCATTCCTTCATCCTGGGAAGTTATAGGTAGTCTGAAAAGAAGAAAGCTTGGTCCCCAAAACATCTGAGGACTTTGTGACTTAGGCTGACATCTGAAGAGAGAGGGAAATGTCCCTTTCCCTTGCCTCCCAGTGTTTCTTATGTTTGTCTTTCTTTGTTGTTGTTGTTTGGAGATAGAGTCTTGCTCTGTTGCCGAGGCTGGAGGGCAATGGCACTATCACGGGGTTCACTGCAGCCTCCACCTCCCGGGTTCAAGCGATTCTCCTACCTCAGCCTCTCAAGTAGCTAGGATTACAGGCGTGCACTACCATGCCTGGCTAATTTTTATTTATTATTATTTTGATGATTTGTTTTTACTTTAAGTTCCGAGATACATGTGCAGAATGTGCAGATTTGTTACATAGGTATACTGCACATTTTAAAACTTTTTGTAGAGATGGAGTCTTGCCATGTTGCCTAGGCTGGTCTCAAACTCCTTGATGCAAGCAATCCACATGCCTAAGCCTCCCAAAGTGCTGGGATTCCAAGTGTGAGCCACAGGGTGCGGGCCTCATTTGGCTTTTTTAACCCCTAGGACGTAGAATAACCAGATGCAGCTGTTCATCCTGGGCAAGGGAGCTGAGTGTCCCTGAGCCTTCCCCCTCACCCAGGAGCCTGATCCTGGCTGTCAATCACGACTCCTTCAGGAGTCCTCCTGGGGTCAGTGATTGGACTCTGGAGGTTCTGAAACGGGTAAGAACAGAACATTGGTTGCATTTACTGAAGGTCATAAATGCCCTAGGCTGGAAATTCACTCCCCAGTCTGTTTTCCATCTTACATTTTCTCAGGTAGGACATTCAATAGAGTTTACTAGAGATTATGCAGTGAACTCAAATGAAGGCATAAAACTTCTCCAAATAATAAATGCCAGCAATATTAAAATGCCCTGATTTGAAATATATGAAATACTTCACATTATTAAATTCTCAGGGAGGTATTAAGGTCTAAAAAAAATGTAATTTTTCTTGAAAATCGAGGTCTAAAGAAATTAAAAGTCCCAAAATTATTTCCTCTCCAATTTTTTTTTTTTGGTTTGGGGTCAGCCAGAGGCCTTATTTAGCAATGGTGATAGAGTCTGGCTCCTGCACAGCTGCAGTCCCCTGCAGAAGAACCTTGGCTTCAGGCTCTCCAAAATGCCACTCTCTTGGGCAGCTGTCCTGAGTCCATGACTTGTGAACTTAACTGGCAGAAATCCAGTCTTGTGCAGTCAGTCCTGCTGCCATGGGGCCCTCCCCAAGCCTGGCAGAAGTCCAGGGTTGCCTGAGGCCTGTGTTCCTGTTGGGGGAGCTCTCCTCTGAAGCTGCTGCTTCTCAAACCCATTAAAAGTAAACCCCTTTCTAAAAGGCATCTCTTAAGGTAAGATTTTCCCAGCTCTAGCAAGCACCCTGCCTCATCCACATGGGACTGTGAAGTCCTTGGAGAAATGAAGTTACTTCTCATTTCCCTGGGAGTTTCTCCTGATAGGAGGCCCACTGGTGCTTCAGCCTGCAGGGCTATGGCAGATATAGGAGGCCAAGGACTTTCCAACAAAGGCCAAAGGCATGAGACTTTCCTTCTATGGAGAACAGGTGAGATGGAATAGCCAGATGGATAAGAATCGTGTTTGTAGAGAAAACATGGGTTTCCTGATGAGAAACATGGAGAAATCCTAAATGATTACAATCTTTGTAAACTGTGAATATGATTTAACTCAGATTTGTGCAAAGTTTCATCATGGTCCTCTTGAAGAAAGCAATCACTTGAAAAGCGTGGCAAAATCACAGGCAATTGATGGTTTTAGACCTGAAGCTCTGTTTTAAAGTGAAAGGTCTAAAATGTTAACCCCAGGAAAAGACTCAGGACAAATCTACTCTTATTAGTGAGAGAAAACACCACACTGTATCTTGTCTTTTATATTCAACATCTAGGGCTTAACCGCTATGGACTTCACATGTAGGGTGAATGAATTCAGGGAAAAGTTATTTAAATTAAAATTTTAAATATTTATTTTTTTTTTAATTTGGAGACGGAGTTGCCCAGACTGGAGTGCAATGGCATGATCTCAGCTCACTGCAACCTCCGCCTCCTGCGTTTAAGTGATTCTCCTGTCTCTGCCACCCGAGTAGCTGGGATTACAGGCACGAGCCACCACGCCCAGCTAATTTTGTATTTTTAGTAGAGACAGGGTTTCATCATATTGGTCAGGCTGGTCTCGAACTCCTGACCTCAGATGATCCACCTGCCTCAGTCTCTGAAAGTGTTGGGATTACAGGTGTGAGCCACTGCACCCAGCAATTTTTACAAAAACAAAAATGAATGGAATGGAAAGCTATAACAAAACATTTTGAGGCATTAGCCAATTTAAACTTGTAGTTGTTATACCAACTAAATTGGAAAAGAGAACAACTGTAGAAAGTGATATAAGCCTAGGTGTCCCTAAAGAATAGAAAATGAATTCCATGTTTCTTAGCCTCACTTGCCGTTCTGGCCACGCATCACAAAAACAGCCTGCAGTTTCCTCTCCCGTGAGCAGCAGTGTGAACCTGGGTGTGACTCACTGCTGCAGCCTCTCTGATACATAGCTTTGTTCTTTTGTTATACTCGGTGACAGTAAATATTTGTGGAACAATATTTGTTCAGGAAAGATGCAAAGGCCACACGGTGAAGGGAAAAACAGGTTTAGAAGTTAGCAAATCCTGCTTCTGCCTTGTGCTACTTGAAGCCCCCTAACCAAGTTAATCTATACCTCGTGGACCTCATTTCTTCTTCTTTAAAATAATAACACCTTTTACTCCTTATAGGTTTGCAAGATTTGGAATAATATACAAAAGTGTCTCCTATCTGATTATAATAAGGAACTCGATTCTTAGGTAAGATTTAGGTAAAGTTTGGCTTTGGCATAAAGAAATTAGACCTGGTTAGTTGGTGTACCGATTTTAGTATTTTCAAACCCTACTCAAATTTTATCATTTAAGATGCTGAACTAGGATTATCTAGCTCTTAAGATTTTGTGGAGTTTTCTTGTTTTCTTAAAGAGATAAAAGCTGCCTTCACATTTGAAGGACTTTGAGGACCATCTTTCTAAGACATTAAATAAGCCAACTAATTTTCACTGATCTCTCTGAAACAAGCTAATTATTAATCTATAAGTGGGTCCTTATCTATTTCTAAACTGTCAGGGTTGCCTTTTTTTTTTTTTTTTTTCCCAATTCACAGTGGTTTAAAATGTACAAACTGCTCTAAGAGAATTCGGGCATTCTCTGAGCCATTTCAGCGCCAACCACTCACCATGTGCCTTTGTTAGCAGCCAGGTATACCAGCCCAGTGCCCCAATCACAGGGCAAATTCTTCTTGTTTTTTAACTTTTTGATCAAATTATATTTGAAAATTCTCAGGTACAGTGTCAATTTGAAGAAGACTCAGGTTTTCAGTGTCATGAAACGGTTCTGAAAAGGGAAGTCTGAAGAAAATTACCATAAGACTATTGAAAGTTAAAGAGCTCAAGGACGGTAGGTCTTGGGAGTAATTTGCAAATGCAGAAATGACCTTATAGCCATAAAATAAAACAAATGCGGGAAAGACTTGTGTTGTCCTACCAGTAGCAGTTGTGTCAGAGGTAGACAGAGCAGATGTTTGAAATGCTAGGCAGTGTTTCCAAACAGTAGGACATGACCTATTAGTGAATTGCGAAACATACTTAGTGGGTTGCCAACATAATTTTCTTTAAAGGCATGGAATAGAAAGCACATGCATGAGTCACTAGAAGTACAATAAGAGTTGTTTGGTGCAATTTTCCTTTAATTACATGTGCACACAAGGAAGGTGGGGCCAGGACTACTACTTTTCACTTTGCAGAAAACTTCATTTTTACTGTGCGTTGTGATTAAGTTAAAAACCTTTGACTATGCTATGTAGGCAATTCCAACACTTCAGGAATACAAAGGTCTGAAAAAAGGTTATGTAGTAAAACTCATTTTCATTCAGATTGATAAGGAAATAGGTCAGACAAATTGCTGAAGAAAAAAATGGACACAGAGCATAAAGGATAACAGAGTACGCACTTTCATTTACTATGATGAAAAGAATTTTTTTTTTTTTTTTT